TGTTATCAAAGCTTTTGGAGATGATTAGTAATAACCAATGAATACAGGCAGCCACCAAGCCCAGGACAATCACCTACCCCTTTCCTCACCCCCCTCTTCTCTGCTGCTCTCTTACAGTTTTATCGCCTGGGTCCACTTGTAGTTCTACCAGCTTTTCCCAAAATAACTATACAGGAGTTGATACGCAGGTGCTGACAAACTATTTTATTTTAACTTTCAAATCTTCAATATTCTACTGGGATCCTGATTATATAGGATAATTACCAGGCTCAAAAGAGAAGAAAAGTCTCTGCTATTACATGGTCAATAAGCGATCTCATCAAAATCCCAACCTATGCCAAGTCTAATCTCACAGTCTAAGGAGTTTTCTTCATAGACACCATCACCCAATGCTGTGTTATATGCTAATTGCCAGTTGCTGCTTTCTTTATCAGTTCTTTATTCACTAATCTGTCTCAAAAGACAGATAACCCAAGAGAAACAAAGCAGGATACTGCAACAGGTACTGTACAAAGGATAGCCAGATGCTCAAATGCCTCACTTTGGTAGTCATTAAGGAAATGCAAAGGAGAGGCCTCAGGGGATACTTCTGCCTATAGACTGGCTTGGTGCAACAGAAAAGCAAATCACTCGTAGAGCATGGCCATCTAGGAGGAGTATAAATGGACTGAATGTTTTGGAATGCTTACTAGTGCCCACTTAAGACAAACATGGGTATATTGTAACCTCTGACATGAAATTTTTGCTCTTAGATTGAAATCCAACAGAATTATATGCCTAAACATTACATATCACAATTGTTAAAAACCATAATGCTTATAATATCCTCAAACTGGAAGCTACCCAGGAGCCCATCAACAGCAGAATGACTAACTAAATCATGGGTTAGTACACAATGGAATACTATATAGCCACAAGAATAAGATTATAACTATAACCACAAAGAGCAGTCTTATAAATGAAGGACAAGTGACCTGGGTAAATGAGATGAGAAACTAGTCTATATGAGTTCATTTCTACAAGACTCAGATACAGGAAAAATGAGCCCAGGATACTGTCAGGTAAATGATTCCACTGCGGGAAGTGGGCAATGGTGAACACAAGAGGTGTAGACAATAACTAGTTTCTTCAAAATAAGGTAACACAACAATAACAACAACAAACCAACTTCATGTGTGTGGTTCTGTGCACCTGGAGCTTGCGTGACAGATGGTTGTGAGCTGTCTTGACTTAGGTGCTGGGAACTGAACTCATATCCTCTGGAAAGGCAGTACACAGTCCTAACTGCCCAGCCATCTCTCCAGCCCCAAGGCAGGTCTTCTGGATTTGAGTACTGACTCAATTCTTCAAACTTCGAAGTTGAAATTTTAGCACCATCTCTCCTATGTGTTTGATTTGCAGTTTACTCATCCACATATTTTGAGCCTGGATTTTCTGGATTTTGAACCATTTCAGAATTTCAGATTAGGGATGCACAGTCAAGAAAAAAAGTCTATGAGAATATTCTCAAAACTAAAAATCCTAAGAACCTGGAGAATTTTTTTTTTTTTTTTGGTTTTTCGAGAAAGGGTTTCTCTGCAGCTTTGGAGCCTGTCCTGGAACTAGCTCTGTAGACCAGGCTGGTTGGAGAATCTTAAAGATTTGTACTCCTAAGCATTTCAGACAAGACACATCTATACAACCTATCCTTAGTAACCACACCCCCTGTGAGTGTCAATATTGATGCAAGTTTGTCTTCATATAAAGTGGGATAAAATTTGCACTTAACCTGTGTCCATTCTCCCACAAACTTTAAGTCATATATAGATGATTTAATATTTGGTGTGATACAAATTTTGGTATTGTTATACGGTGCTGCTGGAGAAAGACAAGACTGTTGAGGCTCAATATAGATGTGACTTCTCTCAAAGACTTTTGATCCTGCTGTGAAATCCACAAATGTAGAACCTATGAGCATGAAAGGCCACCTGAACCTCAACTAAACCTTAGCAGAATGGGAATCAACCCTTTCTCCCAAAGGATGCAAATGTCAATGTTTTTCAAGTCACAGTAGCGCTCTCCATGTTTAAATTAATAATAGTTATTCAGCTGACATGTTTTTATATCATTTAATAAAATGGCAAAGCAGTTTAGGTAAACATAAGGATTTCCTGAGGTATAAAGCCAGATTCTGAAAGAGAAATTACTGTTAGGTATAAATAAAATAATGAAGACTAGATCTCAAAAATAAAAAATAACGTCAAAATGAGAGCCTTATGTCCTGAGTCTTAAAGAGAAAAACAGGGCTTCCGGCCCATGGTCAAGGCTCTTTGCTCATAGAAAAAGTTTTGGATATCAAGTCTATGTTGAGCAGGAGAGGGAAGGGAGCCAAATAAAACCAACGGCTCTGGAAGGTAAAGAACTAGAGATGCAGGAAGGTGGCACGTGCATATAACTTTCTCTGCTGCCCACATAACGTTCACCGTTCTTTCTAAAAGACAATGTCAGAGTAGGAGGAATTCTTAACAAAGCTGTCATCTTAAAAAGAAAATGGTTAAAAAAGAAAGAAAAACTGCCAGAAGATTGAACACACACACACGCACACACACACACACACACACACACACACACACACACCACTGAGCAGTGAATAACCCATCAGAGGGTGCATCACCAGGCAATCGTGTAGCTGTATAAACATCATAGTGCTTACAAACTAAATCACCAGGTATCCTTATCTGCCTAGACTTCTATGATCTGTGCAATCCATCACTGACAGAAATGTAGTCATTCAATAGGTAATTGAGCACATAGGTTATCTTATTTACATGTTTGATTTCCAATGTTACATACACAAGAGATATCTGATTGATATGTATATACAAACGTTTGAATTTACTACTGGTATGACCCTCATTGTCACTTCCCAAAATTGAAAATATATTTAAGAAATGACAATAGAATACCCCATATATTAGTATAAATACTGGGGTCGGGGCTGCCTTTTGAAATGCTGTACGCCCAGTTATTCAATGAGTAGCCCCAGATCTGATAACTTTGCAGGCAAACTAGGTCTCACTCACACATGTAGTCACCGCTGGTTCTTTCCCTCTAAGGGAACTGTGTGTTTCAGAGTTCATCTACCTATGGCTTTTTGTTGGCCATCTATAAAGAAAACTGAAAGCCAGAGGTTAAACAGCACTCAGTTAAATACCTGAAGGAATTACATGTGGGTAACAGAGCCCCAAGACAAAATATTCTAAAAAAAAAATTCATACACCAGATCAAAATATCTGACTTTACAACGTCTTTAAAACAGACATATACGAGTTATTGTTGTGGCTTCTTACCCTAAATATGGGGCAAAAAGTTTGATAATTATAAAGAAACACGTGCTCACCCATTTTAGTCATGACTTCAAAAATACAAAACCAGAATATAGTGTCTGTTCTTTCTACCTATTTACATGTATAACACCGAAAAGGGGCAAAAGCAAGCAGAATATAAATTACATCCTTGCTCAGAAACCTCCTGTACAGGAGGCAAATATAGCCTAGATTTCTTGTAATTCATAATGCAAAGTAAACAGAAACACATAAAGCCACAGAAGTCAGAGTCCTCATTAATTCCTGAAAATAGAGGTCTTTAATTCCAAGTTATTCTGAAATTTTTATTTTTAGGAAGTTTTGCACGTGAAAAAGTTATGGTACTTGTTCCCAAATCTTATTAAAAATCAATTAATTTTTCTACTGGAAAAATTCACCCATCTCTGCCTGTAGTTGTGGTCTTTAAAAAAAAAAATCTTGGCTGCCTACCTCACAACTACATTTACTCCTGACGGGTCAGCTGTTGCTTTCAAAACACAAATGGCACCAAGCACACAACAATTCTAAAGCCCTTTCAATTAAGGAGCTTTTAAAGGCCTTAATTATTTAATAAAGGAGAAATCTTCTAGCTCTGATAGGAATGTAATGATCTGTCACCCCTCCCACCCTTAATCCTCAACTTTGTGTTTTAGAACACGGCTGATTTTGACCTTGCTTGTCCTGAGGTCTCAGGTGAATCTCTTCTGCTAGCCCAACCCCCAAAGTCACAGATTTCCAAGTGATACCCTTAAGATTTGATTAGTGTCCACTGTCTATTATCTACTTGCTTTGCACCCAGGAAGCTCGAGTCAGTGTTAAGCCAGTCAGCATTGCAGTCTGGCCAGCCTGCATAAATCGCCTGCTCCCTTTCCTTTCACTCCATGAAAATAAAGGGGCTGCACACAGGAGTGTGAAAATAAAGCCTGCGCCTCCTCGGGAGCCTGTCGCCGGGGTGGCAGTGCTGAGGATTTCAATTAACATCCAACCCTCTCAAACAGTGACACTTCGGTATCTGCGAGAGCCTGCCTTTTAGAATTTAATACTCAGACAGCCATTTTGCAAAAAAAGAAAACACAGCAGCAGGTCCACGAAATAAGGGCTGTCTCTGAAAGACAGTCAGAATGATAAAGCCGTTGGAAACGCTGGCGTGATTGCAACAGCTGTGTCATTCGCCAGACGATTATCTGCTCCTCTTCTGAAGCTCTTCAAAACAGGATTCAACGTTAGACAATGATGATCTGTAATTTGACAAACTCCGTATTATTTCATATCTAGAAAAAGATCTCCTTTCCCATGGCACGATTCAAATATGAAAACTCCAAGCAAAAGAGTCTATCAACTGGTTTGAACGGATACAGATATCTGAGACAATAGATACTCCCTCACACACATATACACACCAGATCAATCCCTCCACAAGCTATTCCCAACCTTATGAAAGTAACCCGGCACAAAAGATAAACATACAAAAGCATCTCTGGAAAGACCTCAGAATCTCATAGACCTCAGGTGCCTTGACAACTCGTGGCATAAATGATTGATTTTCTGTTTGGTTCAGCACAGGGATTAAAGCATCCAAAAGAAGCAACAGAGACCAAACAGACACAAGTGACATTTTCAGCTCCTAGCCGCAGCCGTTCAGCAATAGAAACTTACATAGGACACCCGAACTCGCCGGCGATGCACCAGCCCGCAGCACTGCATGAAGAGGGGGCAGAACGCAGTCAGAGCGTGGCTTCACCAAGCTGCACCGTGCCTCGTCTTGCCGTCACGGCCACTGTCCATTTCTCCCCACCTTCCACTCCCAGGTAAGAGCCATGGGCAAATGATCAGTTAGCTTCGGTCTCTAGGTAGTTTTTACAGACACTGTTGTTTCTGCAGGCATGCCAAAACTTTGTTCTGTCTGCCTTTATAAAATTTCTTACAGGTAATTTGAGATCTTCTTTAAGGGGGCTGCCTACTGGCAGAAATCTAGAAAAGGTAGCCTTTCTCTTCCCAAAGGAACTCTTGCTAATGTGGAGTTGAGCCTGTCCAGATCGCTGGGGTTTCTGAGCAAGGCTTTTACAGTAGCCATGCTCTCCTCCGGAGATTTTCAGACCTCAGAGCCTTGCATCTCACCAGGCTGCAGTCTGCTGCTTCGGAAGGGAGGAGGCCTACCCTGGCTGCTGTTTATGTGACTGTGTCTGAGAACAGCGCTGCTCCTGCCGCTGCTTGGCTGTTATTTCGCCCTTCTCGGCTACGCACAGACTGGCAACAGCATCCTTGATTCACTGGTACCTCTGTAACATTTTGGGCATATCTGATTTGCTCGTTCTCCCTCCTCCCCTTTCACTGACAAATGAGTGAGTCTAGACTTGAATTCACTGTGGATTCTTAGGACTCCGGAGCCACCCTCTCCACTGTGAGATGCTTTGCCCTGCAGTATGTATTGCAAAGGATTTGTAAGGAAGATTGCTGGAGTAGCCTCAGGACCTGACTCACTCAACCACTGCGGCTGTACAGTGTTTTCCTGCTTGTTGCCAAAGACTCATTTTCTACATTGAAGCATGTTAAATAAACAGAGCTCTGGCAGGCAAATGTGATCAGAGTCAGACCTAATTAATTGGTTAAATAATATATCACCTATGATTTAGACATAATAAGCCAAATGTTCCACAAACCCGAGAGCTTAGCAAGTCAATACTCCATGTAGACTATTATTTATACCACTTCCCAAGGACACGGTTTTCTGACAGGGAGCCGATCTTTACATTCGTTGTCTAAGGCCTTGTACACGCCACACAATGAAACATGAATCATTGAGGCACTGGGGACTCAGCTATTAATTTGGATGATATCAACCATGCTAATAAGCAATGATTCATATAACCTTTTAGTACGCCACACATATTGATCCAAATTTGCCCCACACCCAAGTAACTCTGTATCACTTAAGAAGGTGCATGAATTAATTTCACACCAGAGTCTAAGAGCCTCAACCATCATCGTGTTGTTTAGGCCCATGGAAAGTGAGAAGTTACTAATTTGCAACCTTTTGCAAATTTTTTTTTAGAGCCTGGGTAACAATCCTATATTGTTGTTCATTCATCTCCGGGACAACTGAGAACGGGAAGGCGTTTCTGGTTTAATTCAGACCTCTTACATGATTGACAGAGGGGCAGAGGCCCCAAATGGTTAGTGTTTGGTAACATAGAAGTAGTATAATTAGTAGCTTGGACTTAACACAGTCTTCCAAATTCTATGGCCTTCACATACTAATCATCCATGTTTTTGAAGGATCTAAGGGAAAAATATGACTATACAGAGCAGGGGTTCTCAACCTCCCAATGATGTGACCCTTTAATACAGTTCGTCATGCCATGGCAACCCGCAACCATAAAGTTATTTTTGCTGTTACTTCCTTAACTGTAAATTTACTACTACTGTCAATGATAATGTAAACATCTGTCATGCAGGATATCTGATATTCAGTCCCTATGAAAGAGTCGTTCCACTCCCAAAGGAGTTGTAACCCACACGTTGAGAAAACCGATCTAGAGCAACTAGGATTTGATTAAGTCAGAGGTCTTTTTAAATTAATTTGGAAATTGATTTTCGAATTAAGTGTTATAAAGAAGATAGACATTTTCTTAACTATGCAAGATTTGCACCTAGTCCACAGAATTTCAGTTTTGTTTTTTTTTTGAAGAAACTCTAGCAAGAAATATAGCAATATAATAAAACATAAAAGTCAAGGTTTTCATTAAGATATTTTGATCATTTTCTTTCTATTCTCTCAATTCCTTCCAAATATAGAGGAGAGAGAGAAGAGAGAAGAGAGAGAGAGAACATAAAGTTGGATTGGTAGGAACATGGGATGGGAAGGATGAAGGTTTTTAAAAAGCTTCTTTATCACACATTTCATAAAAACAAAGAATAAAAATGAAGTGAAAGATAGACTAAGAAGAGAACATTGGAGGAAAGAGTGAACTCTTGATGGATTCTGAATTTGATTCAGAATTCACTTAACTTTTTATTAAGTATGATATTTTTAAACACAGTATGTAAGAGATTCCCCAGTTCATTAGAGATTCCACCCACATTGCCATTCAAGAACCCAGGAAAGAATGCTGAGCACTCTAAGTGGGCTCTGCAGACATTTGCTGGGGACCTTCAAGCCTATTGCCCCTGGGCTAACATGCTAGGGACAGGAAATAATAAAGTACCTTTTCTTTGTGATACTTTCTTTCTCTTTAACAGGGAGTCCATGTCACCATCTTCCTTTAAGTGTTGACAAAAGGCAAGTGCCCCCGTGCCTAAACCAGACTCCAGGACCTTACAACACAGTGATGAGGGGAAACGGGAACACCTCTTGTAACTATCCCTCAAAGGAACGGTCACCGCTCCGTAAAGTCAGGGATATGTGGGCTCCTTTGACAAGGCGGGCAGTGTGGCACTCAATGGACAATAAGCAGAGAAAGAATGCCAGGTGACTAGATGGTATATGTAGCATAGAAATTTACACGCAGACTACATACATGCATGATACATCTGCTTCTATAGAATATTCAAGCAAAGATGTGGGTAGATTACATGTTTACAATATATTAAGGAAATAAGAACTCACCCAAAGTGTGTTTAGGGATTTGTGCTTTTATTTCTTGGTGTGTGTGTGTGTGTGTGTGTGTGTGTGTGTGTGTGTGCATATGTGTTTGTGCGCATGCACCACATATGTTTGAGTACCTGGAGAGGCCAGAAGCTGGTGTCAGGACCTTGAATTGGAAGCTAGGCGACTGTAAGTCACATGACATGGGTATTAGGAACCTAACTGCCATGCTCTGGAGGAGCAGCGAGTGCTCTTAACTACTGAGTCACTTCTCCAGCCTCTGGGACTTTTGAAGCAGGGTCTCATATCACCCAGGATGTCCTTAGATTTATTATATGCTATGTAGACAAGGACAACCATGAATTCCTAATCCTCCTGCCTCCACCTTCCAAGTGCTGGGGTTACAGGTGTGTGTCATCACACTGCTCCAAAGTCTTCCAACTAAGCTGAGTGCTCCCACTAATTCCTTCCTTATTCGTGTGTGCATTGCTAGCATTGAGCACAGTAAAGGGCAGGTAGAAAAGGAGATGTAAATCTGCCCTCGCATGTTCATTATTCCTTCACCATTTCAGCTACAGTACCCAGAACAGATGCAGAGAGCTTATACTGAGACAAACACTCCAGCTTCCCTAGCAACTAGCGGGACCATGTGACTAGCTTCTGGCCAATGAGAAAGAAGAAAAAATGGCATGTACCAACCCCCTAGATGTCCTTAGAGGGACTGGACCTTGCCTTCCTCCTGCCCTTTCCACTTTCCTGCTGGCCTAAGATAGATGTATTGCTGAAGGAACACAGAAAAGCCCGCTGTACATCCGGGAAACACAGCAGCTAGTTTCCAGTCTCTCACTGGGGGTGACCCTGTGGGTTGGAAGTGGTTTGTTATGGCACAGCAACACCAAGAGAAACATCTCCCCCCCCCATATTGTTTATACTACTGTTACTTTGACCTCAGTTAAAGAAATGAAACTAGTGTTTTAAAAATACCTCTGGGTATTATTACTTTTGGAGTCAATAATTAATTCATAGCATCCAAGGGAGCATGTGGGGAGGAGGGAACGGAGAGGACATAAAAGCAAAGGGAAGAGAAAGCTCAGGTTGGGAGAGCAGTCTCGTCTGGAACAGACCAGAGCATCCCAAACTCCACAGCAGAGTTGAGCTTTATCCAGCAGGACAGGAGAACTGCCGAAGCCTTAAAATCAAAAATAAATGCTTAGTTTTATTAACAAGTAGGAAAAACAAACCTCTCTGGATAATTTGGTTTAAAAAATGCCAGATTATTATCCAAAACCAGCAAGGAATCTGAAGCTGTTGTGTTTATGTAGTGGCAATTACTGTCCAGCTATTAAGTAATCGAATCAAATGAAGTTAACCAAATAGCTGGTAATTTATGGAGTTCACTGTAAACCTAATGAGTGGGACAATGAGGAATTTTTAAAATAATCTACGGTATGTTTAAATTAAAATTTCGTAAAGTGTTAACAGAGAAAGGATGGTAGAAATAATTCCAAATAACCTCAGATCCATATATGTGAAGTCAATGACAGGCATCTTAAATCATACGCCCAGGGATGTGTGATTTATGATATATGGGGATTATTTTACTATTCATGTTGTCTGTGACTCCCGTCGAGGAGAGAGAAAACACACAGTGACTGAGACTGTTTCTTCTTAGAAGAAACAGAGCCAACCGCGAAAAGATGATCTCACCGCAGCTGAGGATGACAGGAGAGGCAGGAGGGAGAGACCGAGCACGGTGCCGTTAGTTACCCAGAGAAGCAGAAGTCCTGGCACAGAGGAGTAGGAAGATGGCACGAACACCTGAGCTTGGATCTTAACCCTCACATCATATTTTGCCACGGTGATGCCCACTCAAACCACAGTAACATGAGCAGAAGCAGAGAGAGGGGGACTCTAGGGGCCTTTTCTCTATCCAGTCTAGCCTTACTCAGGTTCAGTGAGAAACCCTCTTTCAAAAAAAAAAAAAAAAAAAAAACCATAGGAAAGATAGAGACACCCAATGTTGCCCTCTGGTCTCCACATGTGCATGCACAGGTAAGCACATATGCTCATACATGGGTGAGCACATATACACAACTGTGCAGGCATGCATACACCACACAAACACACAGAGAGAAATTCTAATATGCTATTGCACATCAGGGTGACGACAGTACCAAAACAAATGAGAAATGTTCAAGGAGGTAAGTTTGACTTAATTCAAATATTTTACAAGATGCACATATAGCAAAAGTACTTGGTAGGTATAACATGTATTCACATCCATGTATTTGTTGACATATTTATTTTTATGCACACATGGGCATGCATATGATACAGATCATGTGCTTAAATCAGAGAACAGCTTGTATGAGTCACATCTGATCATCCACCGTGCAGTCCAGGGAATGGAGCTTAGGTCATCACGCATGATGGTAAACACCATGACCTGCTGAGCTATCTTTCCAAGACCAGTTTTATTATTTTATACAGTTAAAAACAAGTTTAATTTTGAAATGTCCAAAGTCTCCACAATCTTGAGATACTTTCTAGAGTAGAACAGGTTTCTCCTCAGGACTGACTCTGCTTGGTTGTTGTAGCTCTTTAAGTGGCTATGGTTTCATCAAGGCAGTCTCCATGCTCAACGCCATGACAGTCCTCTGCTCATC